TGAAAACAGAAATAGCGATGCAAAAGAGGCATTAAAGACATAATAAGCAGGCACAGGGGGGTGTTTTTTTTATTTACAAAAAATAATAATAATAATAATCACAATAGCACAGTGTTCCTGCAGACTGCCCTTCAGGAATTTTGGCGGGAGAATTCCCTAAAAACTTGCGAGAAATCCTTCTGCAGAAACAGAGTGTTAATTTGGCCCGGTTTGTTCACTTGGTTTTTTTTTTTTTTTTCAATTATTTTTTGAAAGGGGAAATTGGAGAGCGGGGGATTTATTTAAAAGCAGCAGAGGGTATCCGCTTACCCCTGAACTATTTTTTCCCCCTCCTCTCTTTCTTTCTCTTTCTCGGTGCAAGTGTGTAGAAAGGGTTTAGTGAGCGCCTTAAATCACAGTTGTCAACTTTTAAGACTTGCGGACTTCAACTCCCAGAATTCCCCAGCCAGCTGGCTGAGGAATTCTGGGAATTGAAGCCCACAAGTCTTAATTACCAAATAGCAGAGTGGAAAGGGACCTTGGAGGTCTTCTAGTCCAACCCCCTCCTCAGGCAGGAAACCCTATACTATTCCAGACAAATGGCTATATACAATCTCTTTTTCGAAACCTCCAGTGTTGGAGCCCCCACGGCTTCTGGAGGCAAGGAGTTCCACTGATTAATTGTCCTGACTGTTAGGAAATTTCTCCTTAATTCCAGGTTACTTCTCTCCTGGATTAGTTTCCATCCACTGTTTCTTGTCCTGTCTTCTGGTGCTTTGGGGAACAGGTTACCAGCTTAAAGTTGCCAACTTGTGGAGACACCTGGCCTAAAAAGTGTTTGATTCTGTGCATCTTACGGAAGGGAATCTGAAAAGATTGGCCTGCCATTTTCCCGCCACTTATTAAATTCTAGATACTTCCCTCAGTATCAGGGGTTAGATGAGACAGGGAAGAAGAAGAAAAAAAGTTTTCTCAGATTTTGGAACAGCAAAATGGCCACCAGGTAAATAAGTTTTAAAAAAAACGTATTAAAAAAATTAAATAAAAACTTGATTCAATAAAGAAAACAGAAGGAGTACTAGGGTGGAAATGGATTTTATTTTGAGCAGGGTTAATCAAATTTGGCAACTTTAAGATGGGTGAACTTCAACTCCCAGAAGTCAACTTTAAGATGGGTGGACTTCAACTCTCTTAATTCCCTTCAACTTCCAAAATTCCCCAGAATCTTAAAGTTGGGAATTGAAGTCCACACAGAATTTCCATGACTTTTAAAATGGGTGGATTTCAATTCCCAGAATTCTCCAGCCAGAATTCTAGGTTCCTTCAAACCAATAGTGGCGTCCATCAAAACGAGGCTGTTCTCTGCTAAATTAAGTCATACAGCAACTCACTTCATCATCATCTTTTAATGACCCCATAGTCCCTTGCGGGGTGGAGTCTGAGCAACTGAATGGCGCTAACAGAGATTTTACTGGCCGGATGCCCTTCCTGTTGCCAATGCGGAGTTTTCTTCAGCAGATATATTCTCATTGTGCCCAGAGAGAGAAATATCTGCCTCTGTCTAGGATTGAACCCACAGCCTCCTGATTATGAGGCGAGAGCTCCACCATTAGACCACTGCGTCGCTGCATACAGCAACTCACTTAGCCAATTATCCACATATTTCCTTGAATTGGGAGTTTTCTACTGCCCTAATTTCACAATCTGTGCCCTGCTGGTGTCTCTTAATCCTTTATGCAATACTCTCTGAGAAAGGATATCTTGTATTAAGAATAATTCTTTGCAATGTTTTCTAAAAGGTCTTGAGGTCTAGAATAAAGGTCAAGATTTAGAATGGAGGTGTCCAACCTTGGCAACTTTAAGACTTGTGCACTTCAACTTGCGAAAAGTCCCTAGCTAGCATGGTCAGCTGGGGAATTCTGGGAGTTGAAGTCCATTAATTTTAACGTTACCAAGGTTGGACAGCCTTAGCTTTGTAGTTTTAGAAACCATGTTGAACTTGGTAAACAAAGGGAAGAATATGGGACAGGATGATGAGTGTATGTAGTTGTTGTTGTTTGTGTGTTTGTGTGTGTGTGTGTGTTTTAATGCCTGCATCCAGGCATCTAAGCATGGAATTCTCTGCATCTTCAGAGAAGGACAGATGGCAAGAGGAAAGAAAAAAAGAAGAAGAAAGAGAGAGGCAAAGAGAAAAGGAGAGGGAGAGAAAGAGAGAGAGAAAGAAAGAGGGGATTTTTTTTTTTTCCAAAAAGTTGCACCGGATTTCTCAAACAAATATCAACGACAACAAAAATCACACAGCAGTTTCAGAATTTGAGAATTGTTCCTTTTCTTTTTTTTCTTGTGGTTTTTGGTTCTGAAAATGGGAAGAAATGGGAATAATAGCTAAGCAGAAAATGGGATATGGCACAGTAGGAAAACATAAGGCGTTGGTTTGTCCAGCTCCTTCCTTCCTCTCTCCCTTCCTCTCCCTCTGAGGTGTCCAATCTTGGCAACTTTAAGACATGTGAACTTCATTTCTGAGAATTCCCCAGTCAGCCATGCTGGGGAATACTGGGAATTGAAGTCCATGCTGGTTGGGGAATTCTGAAAATCAAAGTCCACAAGTCTTAAAGTTGCCAAGTTTGGGGATCCCTGTCTTAACTTGGCCGTTTGGCTCTTAAAATCCTCTCTTGGCTGAGACCGGTTCATTTATTTGTTTTCATCGATTGATTTTATGTATATCCTGACTTTATTGTTTTTATAAACTGATTTTTACCTATCCTCTAGGGAGAAATCGATGATCGATCATTGATTTCACAACCCGCACACACTCTGGATTGAATCAGAATTATAAGGCCTGTTTTTATTCTACAGACCACTTAAAAGCACCTTCAATAGTTTCATTGGAAGCAGTTTCATTTTGCATGGAATTTAACTCAAATTCTTTCTATTTTTTTTTAATCAATCATTCCAATGATGCATTTCAAGAAGAGATGGATAAATCCTGCCCTCTTCATTTAGAAATCGGTTTTTCTCCTCAGTTGTGAATGGGAGGGACGGTTTATACCCAAGTGTCCCTCTGTACGGGGCATGGCTGATTTCTAAGTAGGATATATTAAAAATAAATAAGTAAATATCGACCAAAACTGTATTAGCCAAACCGTGGTTTAATTAAAAAGCAGTTAAACAAACCATGGTTTATGTGATGGATATTGCCATTTTCCAGCATTTACTTCCAGTTTCCAGCAAAAAAATGCCCGTTGGAGAAAACCGATTTTGTTAATGACCGCAGTGTTCATTTAACAACCACCGTAAAAATACATTGAAAAACTAGGTCTGGTTGTGTGATGCCTCAACTTACAACCTCAACAGCTGTAATTCCAGGCTCACTTCCAATCATAAGTCAAAAACTACCTATATTTATTGCATTCTTTTCAATGACTAGCTCTTCCTCATCTCCCTAATTGAATCTCTTAACTGAGATGGGTGTGGAAGGGGGAGGTAGAAATTTAATAAACCCCTAAAATCAATAAAACATCCCATGAGCCCTTGCAATAAGAGGGTCCTGGCAAGGCTTCATCTCAGTGGCTAGCTCCTTTTTCCATTGGTTAAGGAGGAGGCGAGAAGCCCTCCCCCCAGCCAATCAGGGCCTGAAAATGCTTCCATGCCTTGGCTACCATCGAGTTGTGTTGGGGGAGAGAGAGAGAGAGGCTTGAACTCCCTGACCTTCTTTCTATAGGGCTCTTTTTCACGGAGGACCAGATAAGCGAGGAGCCCAACAGAATAGTTTTAATGGAGCGAACAAACTTGTATTTGTAATGTGTGAACACTGTGTTCCTAAAACACACATATCCCACTCCCGTGATTCAGTCAAGGGAACAAAAGTGCCAAGCCACCCAAATCCTATGCACTGAATTCAAAAAGCTCTCAGAACTGTGTGATGTTTGTTATTTTGGCTTGCCGATCATTTCAATTATCAAAGGAATGAAAAAAAAAAAAACCAAAAACAAAACACGAGGTAGAATCGAAGAGGGTAAGGAAGGGAAGCAGGAACACTGGCTTTTTAATTTTTATTTTTCCACAATGCACTTGGAATAAATTGCAGCATAGCCGAACCAACTTAAAAAAAAAAAAAAAGGAAACAGAAAAAAAAGAAAGGAAACGTAACATCCGAACCCAATGAATTCAAATCAAAAGAGAGAGAGAGAAAAAAAAAAACCCAAAAGCAAATAAATAAATAAACAAATCGAGAACCAGGAAGGGATAGCTTGGAGGTGGTGGGAAAAAAAAAATCCACTGAACGAAAAAAAAACCCCAAAACCAAAATAAAATATCTTTTTTAAAAAATGGATATAGATATATATATATATATACACACACACACACGCACAGTTGGAAAAACACCCTCCTCCAACGGAATTTTTTTCAAATAATAATAATAATAACAAAGCCGTCAAAACAAATTGTAAAATATTTTTTTTTAAAAAATAAATGAAAAAGGACCAGCATGCAAAGATCATTGTTCACATTCTCCTAATCATGCATCAGGCCCAAACGTCCGTAAAGAGGACAAAAAAGTGCACATACAACGGAGCAACATTACCAAGGATGCAGAGAGAGGCCCACAATGCAACTCAACTCATCTCCGGCGAGACCCGAGAACGAGCAGATCTCGCCCGCCGTCTTATATATTTGATATTATTTTTTTTTTTTATAATGATATCAACAAGAGATTTTGTTTCTTGCTTTCTTTCTCTTTCTCTCTCTCTCTCTTTTCTTTAAATTTTTTTTTTCTCATATATATATATTTTTAAAATAGACATATTTTGTCATCGAGAAGAAGAGCTTTCTCAGTTATTTATTTTATGTTTCAATCATCGTCATCATCGTAGTTTCTTTTTTTTATATATATATAAAAAAGATAAAGGTTATAGATCATAGATTAGATATATAGATATATAGATATATATATACTTCTCTCTTTAAGAAATGTAAAAATGTGGGTAAAGAAAGTAAAAAAGAAAAAAAACCACACCAACCTTCTCGTAGCTCTGAGGGATGTTAAAGGGGTTTGATGCGGAACACAATGACATGAGAAGAGAGAAAAATAGGGAACACAGAGAGAGTAAAAAAAGGCCTTCAAGGGTGGCATCTGCAAATCGATTTGCTTTTTTCCTCTTTCTTTCCGTTTTTTAACTTAAAAAAAATAAAAAAACTTTTTTTTCCTTCTTTTTTTAAAAAAAAAAAATCTCCAATATGTCCCTTTTTTGGGGGGGGCCACCACCAAGAGGGCCCAGGAACGGTTGAAGGTCTCTGAGGAGGGGGGCTCCCTCGTATCAACCCCGGACGTACCGGTTTAAGAGAAGCCCCCTCCCGAGAATTCGGAAGCCCCTCTGGCACTGCTGGATGGCCCACACCCACCCGCTTCTCCCCCACATCGCCCCCCCCACACCCCCGCCCGCCCGGGCGGCTGAAGGAAGAAAAGATTAATAAAGACACCCTGAGAGAAACCTCCGTCACCGCGGGGTCCTCGCCGTGGGTTAGGTCTCTTCCGCGGTCCACCAAAATGTTTCCAGCAGGGCCAAATAAGATCCTGACCCCCATTCGAGGCATGTCCGCACAGGTTTGGGAAGTCACATCCGAGAAACTCACGATGGGGCTGGGCTGCAGGTTGCAATCGACCGGCCCAATTTGGCTCGAGTTAGCAAAAAAACCAAAATTGGTCAGACCCTCCCAATTCTGAATTTTTTTGGGGGGAAGATGGAGGGAAAACGCGCACGTTTTTTGGATCCGCCCAATCTTGACAAATTAAAGGGGGAAAGTGTGTGACGGGAGCCTCGTGTCCGTGCGGACGTGCTTCGAACCCCAATTCCTTTGAATCTTCTTCCCCGCCACAAACTTAACCAAAAAAAAAGGAAAAATAAAAAAAGGAGCGGTGGGAACCAGACCTCTTTTTGCTGTTCAGGGGGGGAAAATAAAGAACCCCAAGAAAAAGAAACGAAAACTTGAGCTCTTATTCCCTCCACACACACCCCTCACCCGCAAACCCCAAAAGTCATTAAGAGAAACAAGCATGTTACGGGAAGAAACAGTGAGAAAAATAAAAAAAATCAAGAATTTTTGAGTGCAGCGACAACGAAGAGGGAAAAAACCAAGGCACGGAAGACCCCCTCCCACAACCCACCCCACCTCACCCATCATTTCTGCCCCCCACCCCCCAAAATTCAATCCTTCGGGAGATAGCAATCCAAATTAACCCACAAGGCTTCCAAGTTAGCTAGGCGCCGCTTCATGGAAAACGGCCCCCCTTTTAAAACTGGGGCAAAAATCTTCGCGAAGCCTCTAAAGAGAGGACTTCAAATAAAACTGGCTGTTGTGTAAATTTGCACACGCGGGACGTGCCGGCCAACCCTGTCCAGTTAAGTTTGGAAGGGGTGAATTTGTTTCATTCACACTTGTTGTAAGCATTCAAACACTTGTAATTTTGTACGCTGCTTTTTGGTGCACTGGCCGAATAAGCCCCACGACACCAAGTGTGAATTCTGGTAGGATTCTTTTTTTAATTTTATTTTAAAAAAGATAAATTTCAGGTCAAGGTTTTCAGAACAGCCTGATATTCCAGCATTATTTCCAGCGGGAATGAAATAATTTCAGGTCTGTACATAGATGACACTGAAGGAATTGTTTCTGCCTTGCAGAATTCAAACGGCCGCCTGCACAAATCCCCGGGATTTCCAGCTCGTTTTTAAAGCTTGCCACTTGTCATTTTGTAACTGAAGATTTTAAAACTCTTTTTAAATGTTTCTTAGGCTGTAAGCCGCCCGGAGTCTGTTTGAAACGAGATAGGTGGAAAATAAATTTAATCTTCATCATCATCTCCATTTTAATGACCCCATAATCCCTTGCTGGGTGGAGTCTGGGCAGCTGAATGGAGCAGAGTGTTTACTGGCCGGATGCCCTTCCTGTCACCAATGTGGAGTTATATTTAGCAGATCTCATTCTGCCCAGAGAGAGAAATATCTGCTTCTATCACAGCCTCCTGATTGTGAGGCGAGAACTCCATCTCTAGGCCACCGGGTACCACACGACAAATAAATTTAATAAAGAAATAAAAACAAGCCTGAGAGACTGTAACCAAGGGGGGGGGGGGGGGCGAATCCTGCAGTCCCACCCAAAAAACCCTAAATCTCATCCTTTGCGGCGTGAAGCCATAATTCCAAAGAGATACAAGCAAGAGAGACAATATATACTTCATTATTATCATGACAATAAACAGTAATAAATGCACTTTTAAAAAAAAATTTTTGGCATAGATGTGCAGAGAAGGGAAGAGGGTGGGGGGAATATAGGGAAAAAACAAATGTCATTTTCTGGAAGAATGTCTGAAGGCCAGAGCCTCATCAAGTAACTTCATGGAGACCATGAATTTTTTTAAAAAAATATTCATGAGCCTATCACATGGCTAATCCGTTTTTAATGGGGCAAATGGTAGTTTTTTGTGGGTGGATGGTGAACGGCTATTGAAACTCCTGAAAACTTTCCTACTTAAAAAGAAAAAATTCAAGAAGAGACATTCAGCCAGATTTTAAAAAACAGGTCTGTGCACCGGGCGGGGGGAATTGACTGATCCAGTTCAGATTGATTGAAAGCTGTCAATTCCAAATGTTGGAGGTTTGTCGCTATACCTATGGGTAGGCTAGACAAAGGCCAAGGATGACCACTGCCTTTCTTCTGAATACAGATGGTCCTCAGTTTACGACCGCTTTAGTGATGGTCCAAAGTTAAAAGGACATTGAAAAAAGGGACTTACAAATTCCCCTCACGCTTACAACCGTCACATCTCCACTGTAACTTGATCCAAATTCAGGCAACCGGCTTGTATGTATGACCGTATCAATAGGGGAGAAAATTTGTAGTTAATGGTTGACATGAGGGGTCCTTGCGGCTCTCTGAGCTTGGTTGTTTTCTTGCAGACGTTTGACTACCCAACTAGGTAACATCATCAGTGCTACAATGGCTGGAGTGCAAACTCCAGTCCTTCTTAGCACCCATGATGTTACCTAGTTGGGCGATGAAACGTCTGCAAGAAAACCACCAAGCACAGAGATCGCCAAGGACCCCTCCGAGTCCCGGTCACATAGTCGCCATTTGCAACTACCCTAGAAGTCACATTTCCTTCACAACTGTGTGATTCACTTAATGTCCGCAGCAAAAAAAAAAAAATGTCATAAAACCGGACAAGAATCGCCTCACCTAGCGATGGAAGTTCTGGTCGTAAATCAAGAACTACCTGTATTCTGAAGAACCTGCTTACTTTTGCATCTTTCTCCAACTCATTTTCTAGGGGATATTTTGAAAATAATGCTTCCTTGGAGGAAAGAGTTGTACTATTCAGCTGGATATATATATATATATTTCCTGGGGCTTAACATAGCACCTTACAAGAGGCAGGTGTTTTTACGCTCGCCGTAAATTTTCATCTCAGCCAGCCCCGCATTCTGTTACCAAAATTTCGTTCACAGAAGGTGAATGAACAAATCTGCAATTTATTGGGACACTGGGATACCGAGCAGCCCCTGTGGGAGATACAACTAGCAGAACAGCAAGAGTTGGAAGGGACCTTAGAGGTCTTCTAGTCCAACCCCCTGCTTTGAGCAAGGGACCCTACACTATGTCAGACAAATGGCTGTCGAGTCTCTTTTGGAAAGCCTCCAGTGATGGAGTGCCCGCAACTTCTGAAGGAAAGCTGTTAATTGTCTTGACTCTTAGGAAATTTCTCCTTAATTGCAGGTTGCTTCTCTCCTTGATTAGTTTCCATCCATTGCATCTTATTCTTGCCTTCTGGTGCTTTGGAGAATAGCTTGACTCCCTCTTCTTTGGGGCAGCCCCTCAAATATTGGAAGGCTGCTATCATGTCTCCCCTGGTCCTTCTTTTCTCTAGACTGGCTATACCCAATTCCCGCAATCATTCTTCATATGATTCATCCTCCAGTCCCCTAATCCTCTTCGTTGCTCTTCTCTGCCCTCTTTCCAGAGTCTAAACATCTTTTTTAACGTGGTGGCGACCAAAACTGGATGCCAAATTGCAAGTGTGGCCTTACCAAGGCCTTATAAAGTGGCATTAACACTTCACGGGATCTTGATTCCATCCCTCTGTTAGGGATAGACAAGAATACAGCCTAGGACTGCGTTGGCTTGGGCCTGGAGACTTAAACATATGAAGAACAGTGGCAGGATTTGGGTATCTGGAGTCCAGAGAAAAGGAGGACCGGTCTGATAGCACTATTCCAGTATTTGAGGGTTTGCTACAAAGAGGAGGCGGGTTCGACTTATTTTCCAAAGCACCGGAAAGCAGGACAAGAAGCAATGAGTGGGAACTAATCAAGGAGAGCGAAGCAACCTGGAATTAAGGAGAAACTTTCTAACAGAGAGGACAATTAACCAGTGGAACTGCTTGCCACCAGAAACTGTGGGTACTGCATCCCTGGAGGTTTTTAAGAAAAGACTGGACAGCCATTTGTCTGAAATGGTAGAGGGTCTTCTGTTTGAGCAGGGGGCTGGACTAGAAGATCTCCAAGGTCCCTTCCAGCTCTATTCTGATGGACTGTTGGCTCACTTTTAACTAACCGTCCACTAGGACTCCAATTAATTAAGCTTAATTAAGCTTCAGAGAGGGCCCTTCAACCCAACTTCTTCGGTCTCGTCAAAAGGCCACGCAAGGCTCCCGAAAGACCTTGGCGTGTCTGCGGGTGAGGGCGGGTGAGGGCAGGCAGGGGAGGGTCACATTTGCCATTCTTGTGAGTCACGGCGCTCCCTACCTCTCACGTATAGGTTGGCGGGTGAAGAATAGCGCACTCCGGCATTGTTGCTGGCGACGCACTCGTATTTACCCTGGTCCGTCTCTTCGCTGCTCTCGATCTGAAGGCCACCTGGCAGGGAAAAGACAACGAGACAAAAAGGAAAAAGGAGATGCCGAGAAATATGTTAATTATCGACCGAGGGCAGATCGGACACAGAAGGGAGAAACGGCTCTAATGGGCCGAAACACGCCAATTATTACCGATAGCGTATCCAGAGCTCAGGATTGAACGGTGGAGTTCTTGGTACTCTCTGAGGTAGATGGGTTTTTTTTTTTTTCTGTAGACATCTCATGACCGAACTAGGTAACATCATCAGTGCTAAAAGGGAGTGGGAGTTGCTTTCTATTTATAACAAGGGTCTTCAAACTTGACAGCTTTTAAGACTTGTGGACTTCAACTCCCAGAATTCCTCAGCTAACATGACTGGAGGAGGAATTCTGGGAGTTGAAGTCCACAAGTCTTAAAGCTGTCAAGGGGTCTTCAACATCGGCCATTTTAAGACTTGTGGACTTCAACTCCCAGAATTCCTCAGCTAACATGACTGGAGGAGGAATTCTGGGAGTTGAAGTCCACAAGTCTTAAAAGCTGTCAAGTTTGAAGATCCCTGATTTATATCCTTGCTGTCAGTGTTGATGGGAGTGTGGTTTTCCTCACTGGTAGTTTCTTGATTAGGGTATTGTTCCCAGTTTGTTTGTCAGGTGTTAATCCCTGCTTATCTGTGTATTGATTGCTGATTAGATGATGTTTTGGTCATTTTGTTTCTTTTTTGATGTGATCGTTTTTGACTGTTTCCTAGTACGATTTGATTGCTTATTTGTACCCTATGACTATCATTAAGTGTTGTGCCTTATGATTCTTGGCGAATGTACCTTTTCTTTTTATGTACACTGAGAGCATTTGCACTAAGACAAATTCCTTGTGTGTCCAATCACACTTGGCCAATAAAAACTTCATTCATTCATTTTTGTTTTTATTTTGAAGGATATATAAACAAATATAAACCACGAGCCAATCCTACTTCCTTCTAGCGCTGATGATGTTCCCTAGTTGGGTAGTGAAACGTCCACAAGAAAACAGCCAAACTCGGAGAGCACGAAAGAGCTCACAATGCAATTTATTCCTGTAAATTTATTCCTCTTTCCTGCAGTCCAGTATACTTTTCAAACCATTAGGCTGCATTTCCCTCTTCAGCCACAAACAGAAGACACTTTTGTGCGGCTATTTGCAGCTGACAGGTTGGTTTGGCCACACCCCCAAAGCCACAAAAAGCCCCCCCCCCCAACCAAACAGCTTAAGGATGCTAAGCAGCTTTGCTTAAGAATACAGCATTTTTCTTGCTCTCAGAAAAATCAGTATATTGCAATGTCCCATCTCCAAGGAAAGTTCTTCCAATCCAAAGTCGTGTTTTCAATCGGTGCAACTCTAAGATGGGTGGACTTCAACTCCCAGAATCCCCCAGCCAGCACCGAATTCTGGTGTCAGGATTCCAGCAGTTGCCCTAATTAAATCATGAGCCTCGAGGCAAACGTCAAAAAAACGTCAAAAGGATTTATTAGGAGCGAATATGTCGGTATGACCTGTATGAAGCTGATTCTGAGACCCGTAATTCACTATCACCTATGACCCTGTTTCCTCCCCCATGCCTCTGGGTGTATCATAATTCATATTCGAAACACTTTCATAGCTGAGAGTCCTCAGTCACGTTCTCCAATGAGGGATTTTCCTGGGCAGAAACTCCGGTAGCTCAGTTACAATCTTTGCAAGATAAAAATGGAATAGAAATGTTCTGTTGCATTACAATCTTTGCAATGGAATAGAAATGTTCTGTTGCATAGAAACGTTTTATGAGTTGACATCTGGGAGTTGAAGTCCACAAATCTTAAAGGGGCCCAGGTGGAAAAACACCGTTGCAGACCAATATTATCTTTATTATAAAGTTGTAATAACAGAATCTGAACGTGCTTCCACCTCGCTATCTTTGTTGACCTAGGGAAGTCCTTACCTGGAACATTTGTCAATGTTTCAGTCCTACCCTGGACTCAAGAGTTTCCTTTATCTTCCTCCTATCTCCCTCAAGGCCATTTCATCTGTCTTCTATAGAGTTATGGAAAGTCCACCACTATATCATGAACCCTTCGAAGTTCCTGGTCCTCAGGATCTCACGACTCAAGATTGACTGTCCCTATGCATGGAGGCTCAAGGTCGATTGCCCCTATGCGTGGAGACAGATTTCTGGAAGTTCCTCCACCAAACCATGAGCCCTTCGAAATGCCTCATCCTCAGCACCTCACAATCTAAGGTTGACTGCCTCTGTGCATGGAGGCTCTTAATAAAACTACCTAGGAAATAGCCCTGCTGGATTCAGAGAAACACTATGAAGTCTTCCTGTCTGGAAAGAAGCAGGAGAAATAACTGTTTTTTTGTTTTTGTTTTGGCTGCTGGTCTTCCAAGATTTGGTCTTTGGACCCTCTGAATTAGAGTAGGGTTAATTTTTCTGCTATTTAGCAAGGTAGCAAAAAATGAATTCTCCATCTTCGGGGAGGCCACGAGAGAGGATTCCTAGGGCATCAAGGAAAATCGGCTCCTGCATTTAAAAAACAACCACTTGGGTTTTTTTTTTTCTGATTTTGTACAATCTCTTATTGTTTCCAGGAGAAATTTCTCCTCCTGTTCTTTTTCACACCAGAAAAACACCACTGCGATTTCATTAAAAAAAGAAAAAAAAAAATCCCACTTCTGGTGTCCTGCACTGCGGAGCTGTGTCAAATTAACACTTGTCATCTCGGTGGAATGTGGAAAAGAGTTATTCTTAGATACCCGCACCAAAAAAAACCCCCAAGAAACAACAACAACAAAAAAACAAGAAATATGTCTAGACCCATCCAGGCTTCCGAGAAACCAGCTTTTAAAACCTGCAGGACCATAAATTGCAAATAAGCCAAGCATTTAAGAAGTCTTCCAGCCCTTCTCGGGTGCCTTAGTCCATCCAGCCAGGAGAAAAGAGAACGTACCAGAAGGAACCATAAATATTTTTTCGTGTATGTGTGTGTGTGTGTGTGTGTATGTATAAGTATGTGTGTATGTATATATCTTTATATATGTGTATGTGTGTGTCTGTATCTGTGTATATATGTGTGTGTGAATATACTGTATATATATATATAGTGTGCATGTGTATACATAATACACGTATGAATTTGTGTGTCTATATCTATGTATAAGCATGTGTGTGTGTGTGTGTGTATGTATGTATGTATCTGTATTTGTTTTCTTAAGTTTTCGCGGGTACTTACATGTATGGTATTCAGCTTTGTTCGGGTATTTTCCCACATCATTATAGTTGTGCTTTTAAAGTTGCCCGAAACGTTGCTACAACTTTAAAAGCACAACTATAATGACGTGGGAAAATACCCGAACAAAGCTGAATGCCATACATGTATCTGTATGTATATATATATATGTGTATGTGTGTGTGTGTCTAAGTATAGATATGTGTGTGTGTGCATGTATAGTATATGTGTCTGTATGTATATATATATATATATATATATACACATACACACACAAACACATAGTATATACACACTACACATACACACACACACAGGAAATATATAAATATATATATTTATATTTCCTATAGAGGTATTTATACGAAGGGTGATATTATACATGTTCTGGGAAATAAGTCAGAATTCAGAGGGAAGGAGGAGAAGAAAAAAGGGGGAGAAGGCATAGAAAACAGAGGAGATGCACAGAAGGAAAGCAAGAAAAGGCATTTTCCAACAGTGACAAGGTAGCACAATTCTGGATTGGGAAAAGAAATAACAACAGGCCACGCAACGACATGGAACAATAACTGCTTATAATCGAGAGGAAAAATACAGTTTTAGAGTGGTTGTTTTTTTTTTAAGGGAAAGGGGAAGTTGTGCTCTCCAGCACAAAGCAAAGGGGATCTTACCTCGGATTGGAGTACCTTCTGTAAGAAAAAAGAAACACAAAACAAACAAACAAACAAAAAAGAAAAAGAACAACAAACACAGAAGTGAAAAGCCAAGTGGGGGGAAAAAATGGGATTTATTTATTTTTGTTCTTTTTTCTTTCAGGACTAGCCAGTGGGAGGAAGGAGAAAAACGGGCGACTGAGTTTCTAAGGCTGCTTCTCCGAGGCACAATTTGGGGTGGGGTGGAAGGGACATACGGAGGTAGTCCTCAACTTACGACCCTCCGTTCAGCGGCCGTTTGAAGTTACCACGGCACTGGGGGGGGAGAGGGGGGGAAGGAGACTTGCAACCGGTCCTCGTACTTACGACCGTCGCAGCATTCCCCACGGTCACCTGATCAACATGTGGGTGTCCGGCGAACCGGCGCGGAATTTACGACGGCTGCCACATCCTCAGGGAGACACGTGATTCACCATTTGCGACTGTCCTAGCCAGATTCCTACAAGCAAAGTCAAGTGTGTGGGGGAAAGCTGGATTCGCTTAACGGCCATGGCAAGGAAGGTCGTGAAAAATCGGATGCCAGTGCCTTAATAACCGCCTTGCTGAATGACGGGAATTCTGCTCTCCACTGTGGCTGTACGTCGAGGACTACCTGCAATTTGGTTTTTGGGTTCTTATGTTCCCTTTGGTTTCGGGGGAAATGAGGATGGGTTGGGGGGCTGCTATTGTTTGGGCAAAGTCTCCTAAGGACCCCCCCCTCCCAGTTTTAGAGAACAGAAATTAATAATTTAGAGAACAGAAACTAATAATTGGGCCTCTTCCTTGTGTCGTTCCTTACCTACCCTGGCTGTGGCAAATAGTAATAATAATAATAATAGTAATTCAGGTAAGATTTAAGATCAAGGCCTGTTCCAATCCAGATTTTGAGTCGGATTCATGGAGGGCTAGAAACTTAGGGGATCTGCTTCGCAAAAAGAAAAAAAAAGCCTTCGCTTCTGCGAGTGCGCAGGGGAAAAATTAGGAGAGTTTGAGGACCAGGTTTATTTCTCAGTCAAGATGTAGATTTTGTAAAATTCTCAAAACAGCCATAGCAATAGCACTTGGACTTATATACTGCTTCACAGTGCTTTACAGCCCTCTCTAAGCGGTTTACAGAGTCAGCCTCTTGCCCCACCAACAATCTGGGTTCCCATTTTACTCACCTCGAAAGGACAGAAGGCTGAGTCAGGATTGAACTGCTGGCAGTGGGCAGAGTCAGCCTGCAATGCTGCATTCTCACCACTGTGCCACCATGGTCCTTCCCCTTCCTTCCTTCCTTCCTTCCTTCCTTCCTTCCTTCCTTCCTTCCTTCCTCTTTCCTCTTAGCACTTAGATTTATATACCGCTTCACAGTGCTTTACAGCCCCTCTCTAAGCGGTTTACAGAGTCAGCCTGTTGCCCCAAACAATCTGGGTCCTCATTTCACCCACCTCGGAAAGACGGAAGGCTGAGTCAACCTTGAGCCGGTCAGGTTCAAACTCTTGGCAGTGGGCAGGGTTAGCTTGCAATGCTGCATTCTAACCACTGTGCCATCACGGTCCTTCCTTCCCTTCTTCCTTTCCTTTCCTTCCTTTCCTTCCTTCCTTCCTTGCTTCCTTTCTTTCTTCTTTCCTCTCTTTCCACTTAGCACTTAAATTTATCTACCACTTCACAGTGCTTTGCAGTCCTTCTCTAAGCGGTTTATAGAGTCAGCCTATTGCCCCCAACAGTCTGGGTCCTTATTTTACCCACCTCAGAAGGATGGAAGGCTGAGTCAACTTTGAGTTGTTCAGGATTGAGCTGCTGGCAGTGGGCAGAATTAGCCTGCAGTACTGCATTCTCACCACCATGGTCCTTCCTTCCTTCCTTCCTTCCTTCCTTCCTTCCTTCCTTCCTTCC